CAGGTGGTGGTGTTCCAACAGATCTGCTCTCCTTAGTCTTTCTAGATGGAAGTCACTGTGGGTTTGGAATCTTGTAGATATTACACACTGCTGCTACTTCGAATTGGTAGTGGAGGGAGTGAATGCTTATGGATGTAGTGCCCATCAATTGGGCTGCTTTGTTCTGAATGGTGTTAAGCTTCTTGAGTGTTGTTGGAGCTGCACTAATCCAGACAAATGGGGTGTATTCCATCACACTCCTGACTTATGCCTTGTAGATGGTGGACAGGCTTTGTGGAGTCAGGGGGTGAGTTAGTTGCTGCAGTATTCCTAGCCCGTGACCTACTCTTGTAGCCACTGTATTTATATGGCTGGTCTAGTTGAGTTTCTGGTCAGCTGTAGCCTCCAAGATGTTGATAGTGGGGGATTCAGTGATGGCAACACATTCAATGTCAAGGGCCGATGATTAGAATCTCTTTTGTTGGATATCATCATTGCCTGGCACTTTTGTGGCATGAATGTTTTTTGCCACTTATCAGGTGTGCCATGTATATTGTCCAGGTCTTGCTGCATTTGGGCATGGTCTGCTTTAGTGTCTGAGGAGTCATGAATGCTGCTGAACATTGTGCAGTCTGAGTGGACATTGCTACTTCTGACCTTATGATGGAGGGAAGGTCATTGATGGAGCAGCTGAAGATGGTTGGATCTAGGACACTACCCCGAGGAACTACCAAAGAAATGTCCTGGAGCTGAGATGACTGATGTCCAACAACTACAGACATCTTCCTTTGTGCAGGTCACTGAGCAGGTTATTGCTCAGCAGGTGCTGCTTGATAGCACTGTTGATGATGGCTTCCATCACTTTACTGATGATCGAGAGTAGACTAATGGGTGATAATTGACTGGGTTAGACTTGTTCTGCTTTTGTATACAGGATATACCAGGCAATTTTTCACATTGTCGGCATAGATGCCAGTGTTGTAACTATACTGGAGCAGCTTGGCGAAGGGGTGAGTAAACTTCAGGAACACAAGTCTTCAGATCCCTTGCCAGAATGTTGTCAGGGCCCATAACCTTTGCAGTATCCAGTGCCTCCAACCATTTCTTGATATCACATGAAGTGATTAAAATTGCCTGAAGACTAGTATCTGTGATGCTGGGGATCTCTGAAGGAGGCCAAATTGGATCATCCACTCAGCACTTCTATCTGAAGGTTGCTGTGAGTCCTTCAGCCTTATCTTTTGGACTGATGTGCTGGGTTCCCCCATCATTGAGGATGGAGGTATTTGTGGAGCCTTCTCCTCCAGTGATTTGTTTAATTGTCCACCACCATTCACAACTGGATGTGGCAGGACTGCAGAGCTTAGATCTGATTTGCTGGTTGTGAAATTGCTTAGCTTTGTCTATCACTTGCTGCTTATATTGTTTGTCATGCAAGCAGTTCTGTTTGGTAGCTTCACCAGGTTGACTCCTTATTTTTATGTAAGCTTGGTGCTGCTTATGGCAAATCATCCTGCACTATTTCTTAAATCCAGGTTGATTTCTTGGCTTGAGTGGAGGATATGCTAGGCCATGAGGTTGCAGATTGTTTTGGTGTACAGTACTGCTGCTGCTGATGCCCCACACCACTTTATGAATGATCAGTGTTGGGATGCAAAATTTGTTGAAGTCTATCCCATTTAGCACAGTCATAGTGCCATACAATTCACAAAGGCTCCTTAGACAGCACCTTCCAAACTTTCATCCCTAAGGACAAGGGCAACAGATATGATACATGGAACCACCACTATCTAGAAGTTCCCCTCCAAGCCCCTCACCATCCTGATTTGGAAATATAATGCTGTTCCTTCAGAAGAAAAAGAAGTTGTGAAGGGAGATCATTGGATCTGAAATTTTTACTCTGCACAGATGCTGCCAGAACTGCTAGGTTTTGACAGCAATTTCTGTTTTTGTCCTAATCATCTTCAGCTGCTTCATCAATGACCTTTCCTCCATCATAAGGTCAGAAATGGGGATATTCCCGATTATTGCACAATGTTCAGCACTATTCGCGACTCCTCAAATACAAATACATCTTCAAGTGCAACAAGTCCTGGATAATAATCTGTTCTGAATAAATGTCACTGAATCTGACACGTTAACTCTGTTTTCTCTCCACAGATGCTGCTAGACCTGCTGAGTTTCTCCAGCAATTTCTGTTTTTGTTTTGGAATTCCAGCATCTGCAGTTCTTTGGCTCCCCCTCCCCCCAAAAAAAATGACTTGGGTGTGTGGATTACTACTGCAGTGACATTACACTATGCCATCTCTTCCCCAGCGCATGCATGCATGAGAACTCTGTGTTGCCAGAGTGAACTTCCAGGCACTTCTGTCACAATTTCTGTAACAAAGCTCAAGGTGACTCACCCACCAAATCCAGTGGGTGCAACAAACGTCAGAAGTAGAATAATGAATGTGATGTAGGGAACTATTACATAGTTCTATTTATTACATGTATTATTTATTGGGTAAAGGTATTAATGAATTGACTCTTCCAGTTGTAGTTTTCGAAAGATTTACAATAAATTTGAATGTTGGAAGTTCAAGTATCAGAATGTATACTTTGATCTGAAGACCCTAGGACAAGGGG